CTCTGTATCCTTAATGAATGACACTTCCAAGAATTCTTTGGGGGAAGCCGTGACTTGTTTACGGTGGTATGAAACTGCTTTAAATGCAGAGTGCAGGTGGGGCCTCAATGAAGCCCCATTCTGCCCCATAAGCAGACACAGAAGAGCTAGGAAGAAATCTACCTTTCCCCCACCCTCAGCCCCTTCCTGTGATCTAAGCATGAAAATGAGCAACTAAATTCACATTAGCTTAACTAGGCAAGTCCCAGCCCTTGTCAATGTCCATGCCAACGTCTATCCCATTTTCCACAGTACAAGACTGGCACGTCCCCGCCCCCACACTTGATGATGATGGCATGCAATAGGCAACATCACTAGGAAGAGACCCAGAAAGAAAACCTTATGTGTCCAGAATGTTCTCGACTACAACTCCCATAATCCCTGACCATTGGTTATGTTGGCTTGGGCTGATGGCTAAGTCCAACATCATCTGAAGGGTCACAGGTTTCTCATTCTTACCTTTTACCAAGCCAAACTATTTGGAAAACTAGGTAAAAAAAGGTAAAGGACCCCTGGACAGTTAAGTCCAGTCAAAGGCGACTATGGGGTGCGGCGCTCATCTCACTTTTAGGCTGAGGAAGCTGGCATTTGTCCACAGACAGCTTTCCGGGTCATGTGGCCAGCATGACTAAACTGCTTCTGGCGCAATGGAAACACCATGACAAGTGCCAGAGTGCATGGAAATGCCGTTTACCTTCCCACTGCAGTGGCACCTATTTATCTACTTGCACTCTGACATGCTTTCGAACTGCTAGGTTGGCAGGAGAAGGGAAAGAGGAACGGAAGCTCACCCCGTCGCGGGGATTCGAACCACCAACCTTCCGATTGGCAAGGCCAAGAGGCTCAGTGGTTTAGACCACAGCGCCACCTGCGTCCCTAATCTAGGTAAAAAAGGGTAAAGGACCCCTGGACGGTAAAGTCCAGTCAAAGGCGACTATGGGGTTGCAGCGCTCATCTCTTTCAGGCCAAGGGAGCCGGCGTTTTTTCACCTATTTGGAAAACTATACTATCACTGGCATAGGTTTTCCAGCAGAGGCCTTTCAAGTCACCTGGAACCCAATCCTTTGTCCTAGCACCAGTTTTAAGAGCTTATTGATTGTCGCTTTATTTGAGGTGATGTTTTAGTTGGGATTTTGCCTTCTCTTTATTTTTTAAGTCTATTTGCTGGCTCTTATATAGTATTAGGGACGCGGGTGGCGCTGTGCGTTAAACCACAAAGCCTAGGACTTGCCGATCAGAAGGTTGACGGTTCGAATCCCCGCGACAGGGTGAGCTCCCGTTGTGCGGTCCCTGCTCCTGCCAACCTAGCAGTTCGAAAGCACAAAGTGCAAGTAGATAAATAGGTACCGCTCCAGTGGGAAGGTAAACGGCGTTTCCGTGTGCTGCTTTGGTTCGCCAGAAGCGGCTTAGTCATGCTGGCCACATGACGCGGAAGCTGTCTGCGGACAAACGCCAGCTCCCTCGGCCAATAAAGCGAGATGAGCACCGCAACCCCAGAGTCGGTCACGACTGGACCTAATGGTCAGGGGTCCCTTTACCTTTTTTATATAGTATTATTTATACGCTGTTACAGATAGTTTTATTCACATCTTTGTACGCAGCCTTGGAATCTTTAGATAAAGAGCATCTAATAAACATTTTAAACATAATTTGAATAAACTGGAGATGGTGGCAATTGAACCTGAGACTTTCTGTGTGAAAAGGATATGGTGAGTTACCACTGAGCTCTCTGTGGTCTCAGAAGAAAACAAAGCTACAAGTCTAGAAACACCTGTGTAAGCTGGTTCCTCTCAAGTCTTTCAAGCTCCCATAGCAATGGATAAACACAGACTGGATTCCAAAGGTATGTAACCTGAGGGAATTTGTTTTCCCTGTCATAAGGTTTTCTCCCATTGCCTGTTTTCTGAAGCAGTGAGGCAAACCGAGGACTGTTCCTCAGGCCACCGCAGCAAGATCATTTCATTTGCTCACTCAGAAATGATGTTAGAACATGGTTTTTATTTTGATCCATCCCTGTTACGTCAACATGAACCCTGCCCTCTGTATCGTTTTCTCCACAGGATGTGCAGGAGTAAAAGAAAAATAGTAATTAACTTTTCAGCCCAAACTGTTAAAATTAGAAACTTATTTTTATAAGAAGTTTTACAAAGGAAAAAAAGAAACACAGAGGGGGAAAGTGAAAGCCAAAACCCTCATCAGATCACATTCAGAATACATCTTAATTCAAGCATATAAATTGATGTAAGATATCCAAATGTCCAGATACACAAAATGGACTTTTATAAGCAGGATGTTCAAATATAGCCTGGGCTATGAGTCCTCAGACCACTGCATTATAGACAGTGGGTGGGTGTGTTTTTTCCCTTCCATGCAATTCCTGCATTGCAGGGGGTTGGACTAGATGACCCTTGGGGTCCCTTTCCAACTCTACAATTCTATGACTATGTGGGCTTGCAAAAGTCACTTTCGTTAAAACAGAAGCTTATCTAGTATTGTATCAGAACCATAGAGAATTGGTCTTGTTTTATCTTTTCTGCATTATTTACTTAAAAGTGTCTTTTTATTCCTTTGCACAAAAATAAAAACCTGTAATTATTTTTGAGAGAGGAGAGAGAGAGGGTACAGAACCTGCATGCCTCAAGGAGAAAAGTGGCTCTGCTCCTTGAGAAAACCACACTCACCTGATTCAGAAGCCTGAAGCAGCAGTGATGAAAGGAAAGGACAGGATTACAGAGTGCATTCCACATGTTATTTGCTACTAACCAAAAAAGGCCAACAAAGCAAAAAGGGCAAATTAAAAAAAATATGAGCAAAGGGAAAGAGAGAACCAATTTCCACAGGGTTTTCTGGCACAGAAAGGCACATCAGCACACCAGCACACATTATGCCATCTGTGCCACAGACACGGGTGCAATGCTCACACTGCTAAGCTGCCAGGAGCAGAGCTGGAAAATTGGGATTTATTATTATATCACTGAAGGATTATGAGAGATAGAGGCTCTTTCCTACAACGTGATGGTCAGACTCCTGAAAGAAGCTGGGGGGTGCCATTTTCCCCACCCACCCACCAACTAAGTCCATGCAGAGTTGACTTCTGCATAGTTCTTCTCGGTGGGCCCGGAGGGAGAGAACATTCCTGGGGCGACAAACCTTTCTAAGATGGGTTTTCCGTATTGTTCTTTATTTATTGTTCTTTATTGTTCACTAGAAACAAGAGTGAAGGCTGCGAAGAGTATGTCTCTTCCTACAGGTGAAAAGAGTCTGTGGGATGAGCTGAGATTGGAGCTATAGGGGACAGTGGCCCTACCCCATTATTCTCTATGGAGTTATGAGATGCAGAGTGGGGTGTGTGTGTTTGTCTCACTTCTCTTCCTACAGGTTCAGAGGCACTGTAAAGGAAAGGGAGGGGCCAGGTGTACAGTTATCAACTATAGGGAAGGTCATTGTTCAGAGGGGAGGATAAAATTACACAAATATACCTTAAAACCTTTATAGGGCTGGAACTGTGCCCCATTCTTCTCTACAACAGAGGTTGGTCCTCCAGGTGATGCTTGGACTCCAAATCCCATCAGCACCAGCCAGCAAAGCCAATGGTCAGAGAAGGTGGAAGTTGGAGAACAGCAATATCTGGAGAGCCACCCTTCATTTGGGGAGCTCTTGGAGAAATCAAGGAGTGTTGTATGTTGCTGCTCATATAAGGTTAGGGGAACCATAGGGGAAGGAGGAGAGAGCAGTAGTTATTTCCAAAGAGAAACTGGGGGAGGTGTAAGAGAGAGTGAGGTGATATATTAAAAAAAGAATTATAGCAAAATGCTTTATACGTCTATAAGGGCTCTGTCCTCTTTGGGATAAAGAGGTGCAAGGCAAGCATTTTCTGTCCTACAGTGTTCTAGGAAGAGAAAAATGTGGGGGAAATGTGGCTGGAGGCAGCTATGTATGGATAGACGGCTATCTATGGCTTTGCAGAGCGGAAGAGAAAACTCTATGCTCCCATTATACTCAATGCATAGGACAGGATTACATCATCCTTATTATCATCGCTATTCTTTTAATTTATTGCCCTCCCTTCACCCTAAGAGCCCAGAGCAGGTTAGAATAACTTTAAACACAACGTTACAAAGTTTTCAAAACTTGCAATTACGCCGCCGCCCCCCCCCCGGCCCATTCCGCCCTTACACAAATGCATATGGAGCCAGCCTGCCCTGTGATTGTGTATAAGGTTGCCAGAAGGGGGAGAGACGGGGGGGGGGGCTGCCATCTGTTCTATAACACTGAATGGGACGGGAGAGATTGGAGTGCCGGGGGGGGGTCATTGTTCTCTGTAGGGCCAGCAGAAGACGATACATCATGCTATACACAGGAACAGCAAGCGCGACATCTGTGGGGTGAGCAGCGAGGGGGTGGGCGGGTGAGTTTGAGGTTGTAGCGTGGGGGTGTCTCAGAAGGGAGAGCATTTACCCACCTGTTACCTATGGGAATAGGAAGGGGGGGCGTGTAAGATGCAGTGCTGCCCCCCAAGACAGGACGAGCAGCGTGCCCCATTGCTGTCTATGGGGTTAGAGAAGGGTGAGCTGCAGGGACCCATTGTTCAGTGGGGCGGCCAGTAGCGGGGTGGGCTTCGGGGTGGGGTTTTCCTCCCGAGAGGGGCTCACCCAGAACACGAAGCTGTAGATGAGCAAGATGCTCTTGAGGCAAGTGATGACCGGCTTGGTCTGCAGCCTCCGCGACGGGGACGCCATGAGCGACCTAGATAGACCCGCAGACCTACGATGGCGCCGCTTCTTCGCTCGCTCAAACCCGCCACGCACAGCGGAGCAGCTGGACTCCGACTCTCTCTGACGCTTGCGCAGATGGAAATAGGCGAGCATTTCCGGAAGCTCCCGAATCCTCGTCGTGGATTGTGGGTGGGGTTATTAAGAAAACACGAGAGTCTTCAGCCCCGCCTTCTTTTCCCGAGTTCTCCGAAGCATGTCCGAGAAAAGCCGAAGATTGCCGAAACCTGGGAGAAGAAGCTTCGTTCGCTTTACAGTAGTCTTTTTCGGAGGAGGACCGGGAGTGCCTAATTCGTGCCGGCAGGTGGCGCCAGCTAGCTAGCAGCGAATGATTTCCGTATTTCGTGGCGTGGCAGCTGCAATGTCAGGCAGGAATTAAACAGGTGCAGCTTCTCCCTACCTCGCACGATGCCGCGCTGCATACACACCATGCATTTAAAGCACATTCCAAACCTCCCCCGCAAGAATCCTGGGAACTGTAGTTTAAGGGTGTTGGGAATTGTAGATCTGAGAGGTGTAAACTACAGCTCCCAAAAGTCCTCGTTTCGGGGAGGTGCTTTACATGAACAGTGGGTACGCAGCCAGAGACAGTGATGGTGGGGCTTCATTCATTCATTTTGGTTGTATGCCTCTTTTCCACCAAAAAGGTGCTCCAAGCGACTTATAACAAAACAACAACAGGGATGCATTTCAAATAAAAGTCTCATAATAACATAGAAAAACAATAGCATGGTAATAATTTTGTTACAACATAGAAAAACAGAAATACAATAGCATACAAAAAAAACCCACATTTCAGTACTATACATGTAAAAAAACAAAAATAAAAACCCTTGATTTGATGCCATGAAGTAAGAGGCAATGCCTTAATTGTATCTGTGTTTATAGGCCATTAGGTCGGACCTCTTCCATCCTTTATCAAGGAGAGTGCCAACTTTCACACAACACAAATTCACCTCTTGAATTTCTGCCTGTTAGGCAAGAATCCCATTTGTAGCTTTTTCACACTGGTGTGAGTCAGTACAGTGTAGGAGGGTTGGCCTTTGGAAAAGCGCTTGCCATCCCTGAGCACTAAGCCCGCGACTGAATTTTTTAAAGTATTTAATTTAATTTTTACATTGATATCCCACCATCTCAGGATTTTTTCCCCTTGCCCCGCTGAGAGACGGTGACTGACCCAAAGTCACCCAGTGAGCTTCATGGCTGAGCAGGGTGGGGTGGGGTGTTCAAACAGCTTCTAGCCCACCACTCAAACCATTTGAATGTTCAGTCTCAAGCAGCAACATGCTTTATTGTTGTTGGGTGCCTTGAGCCCGGCTTTGGCTGGAGAAGGCGGGATATAAATAAAATTTTATTATTATTATTTGTCTCAGACCTGCCTGTTTCTACAAACCAAAAATCAAATTCCTCTGTGTGTGTGTGTGTGTTTATGTTACACTTTCTCCAAAGAGCTCAAAGCGGCTTACAAGATCCCACCTTCCTTTATCCTCTCAAAAACCCTGTGAGGAAGGCTAGGCTGTGAGGGAGTGCACACAATGGTTTCACAACTGAATCTTGATATGAATCTGGCTCATCAAAGTCTTACTGTACAGTGGTACCTCGGGTTACATACGCTTCAGGTTACATATGCTTCAGGTTACAGACTCCGCTAACCCAGAAATAGGACCTCGGGTTAAGAACTTTGCTTCAGGATGAGAACAGAAATCGTGCAGCGGCGGCACAGCAGTAGCGGGAGGCCCCATTAGCTAAAGTAGTGCTTCAGGTTAAGAACAGTTTCAGGTTAAGAACAGACCTCCGGAATAAATTAAGTACTGTACTTAACTTGAGGTACCACTGTACAGTATTTGTCCAACACTGTAACTAACCATACTGGCTTTTGCATGACTGCCTCATAATTGCAGAGCTCTCTTTTCCCCCAAAGTTGTTCCCATTATGTGGTCGGGTTTTCTGCGGGTTGATTTTCAATTGAGTGCTAAAAAGCGGGTTTTCTCAGAGAAAGCTCCTGCGGGGGAGGGGGGAGACGTTCAGACACAGAGCTTTAAAGTACAGACTGTGTCTGGAAAGACTGGAGGAAAGGTACGTGTGGGTAAAGCCATAGGAACAGTTTATTTTAAGCATGGCACATTGGTATTTAAAGCACTTTGTTGCTGAAGAGTCCTGGGAACTGTAGTTCACCCCTCACAGAACTACAACTCCCAGCACACTCTTCACAAACTATCACTCCCAGAACTCTTTGGGGGGGGGGCGCTTCAAATGCATGGTGTGTGCACAGCCACACAAGAACCGAAATCCTAAAATCCTAGCACATTGTCCTTGCCCTACAAATGTCTGGTGAGAAAACATGCTAGTGTCTTGGTTTACTGACTGCCTTCCTTTTAAACCATGAATTTATGATTCATGAAATCTGAAGTATCGTACAGGGGGCTGCTTATGTTGCTTTAACCCTGCTGGGGGGGCGGTTTGCATGTTCTGCACTCAGTGAGTCATTGAGTAAGATTTCTTTCTAAGCAGCCTGGCTCTCTCTCTTCACCCCCCCCCCCCTTCTTCCTTTCCTCATTGACTCTCTCTCTCTCTAGAGAGAGTACAGCTTTAAATAAACATCTGGCAACTGCAGGCTACCCCACATCTGGGCAGCGTTAGCTGAGTCTGGAAGCCGGTAAGAACAAGCCACTTGTTTTGAGAAAGTTAAAGAAGAGGACTCCTGTATGGACTGAGAGAGACAGAGAACCAGAAGGCACAATTGCACACCAATTCACGGGCAAGGCAGGTAAGAAAGATCCTGCTTCTGTCAGTCCTTTGCTTCTCTGTTTGCAACAGACAGAAAAGATACGAAGGAGATGAACAGCTTATTTATTTTACTTTATTCAATGAATTTATTAGCCGCTCTTGCGCTGAGATTCTGGCGACTTACATAATGGGGGGGGGGGGAAATATGGGCTGTATGCTACAATAGCCATGCTCAGAGTAGACCCCTTGAAATTAATGAGCAGGACTAACATAAGCCCATTAATTTCAGTGGATATACTGAACTTGGTTGATTACAACCCTAAGGCTGCAATCCTATACGTACACACTTTTTCTGGGGAGTTAGAACTTGCTTCTGAGTAGCCATACCTAGGACTGTGGCATAAATATTTATAAATCTACATCCGTTTTGCACAAATGGAAACTGGTGAGTTGTGTGTCATTGGGGTGTGTGAGAGAGATGCTGAGTATATAGTGTTGCCTTTCTGCTTTAAGAAGTTGCATCAGATGATTGGCCCATCTATTTACAGTATTTAATTTATTTAAGAATTTGTACCCTGTTTTCCCCCGGACCAGCTTTCCAAAGTAGCTTATGATTAAAATGTAATATGACTACAGTAAAGAACAGTAAGCACCAGCATATGACAATAAAAACACATAGTGGCTTTTATTTTATTTTTTAAAGCTAGGAACAGTCGAAAAACATCAGGAAATACATTCTGGATGGGGGGGGGGAATGAAAATTTCAATTTCTGTCTGAAACCAGATATTTTTATCCCAGAGTTGCCTACTTTTACTGGTATTCTAACATTATGAAATTGGTATCATCTCTAAAGCATTGCTTTGCCTGTATAAAGATGTCAGGTGCAAGCCCTGATATCTCCTCTTACTTAATTGGGATCTCATAAATCAGGGCTTTATGCTTACAGTGGTACCTCGGGTTACATATGCTTCAGGTTACATACGCTTCAGGTTACAGACTCCGCTAACCCAGAAATAGTACCTCGGGTTAAGAACTTTGCTTCAGGATGAGAATAGAAATCGTGTGACGGCGGCGCGGCAGCAGCGGGAGGCCCCATTAACTGAAGTGGTGCTTCAGGTGAAGAACAGTTTCAGGTTAAGAACGGACCTCCAGAACGAATTAAGTACTTAACCAGAGGTACCACTGTACTTCAAAATGTAGCAAGCCAGCCCGGATGTGTTTGGGGGTTCCTCTTGTTTATTCTGAGTGGCACCCTGGACTTCTACCCCGAAGACAAAAACCCCGTGTCTTCGTTTAGATACTGTGTCTTCCCTTGTCCCTCCTGGCCAGGGTCCTGTGACTTTTAATACCTATGTGATGGGCAGAAACTCAGCAGGGAAAGCTGCACATGTTGCATTTCCGTTTGGTAGAAGTTACTATGATCAAGACACAGTAATCCCATCAGGCAAGAGTGAGGGGGAGAAGGTGATAAAACTACACAGAGTTGAAGAAACAGCCAGAGTTGAAGACAGGTGTAACTGCCGGTCTTATAGCAGGGGTAGCCAACATGGTGTCCTCAAGGTGTTGTGGGAGTACAACTCCCATCATCCCTGACCAATGGCCAGATTGACTGGGCTGATGGGAATTGCAGTCCACAGACCATGTAGGCTACCACTGTCTCTTGCTCAGTACAGTCATACCTTGGGATACAGATGCTTCGGGTTGTGCGATTTCGGGTTGTGTACTGTGCCGAACCCAGAAGTACCGGAACGGGTTCCTTCCAGGTTTCGGTGCTTGCGCATGCGCAGAAACGTGAAATCGCACTTTGCGCATGCGCAGATGCGCCGAATCACAACCCGCATGTGCGCAGATGCTGTGCTGCGGGTTGCAGATGCTGCAGGTTGTGAACGTGCTTCCCGCATGGATCACGTTCGCAACCTGAGCGTCCACTGTACATCATTCTAGTAGAAGGCAGGGGGCGGGATTTTGGTAGACACAAGACACAAAATTCCCTGCTAAACTCTTTCTACAAGTTGACCTCCTTCCTTATTTAATGCATTGGATAGTAGAATAGTCCTACCACCTTGAGATAGAATGGGGGAAGGAATATATGCTGCAAAACTTTTTAGCATGCTGCTCCTTCTGGTAAAGTGCTGAGTTCAAAGCTTACATTTTAATGGGATTAATCTCTGGCAAGTTACTACCTCTCAGCCTCAACTCCCTAGCTTTAAAATGGGAGAGCAAGCAAGTGGCTAGGGAGGGAAAAAAATCCTCTATCATAATACTGGAATCCCATATCATCCAATGAAACTGAGGAATAGGAAATTCACGTCAGGAAAAAGGAAGTACTTTTTTTGCCCAGCACATAGTTGTAATGGTTGCTTAGCTTATGTGTTCCTATATACATAAATATGTAAAACATCATAACATCTGAAGTTCATGTGGCCTTGCTAACTACAACATGAGGAATAGCAGGCTGCTTCAGGGGAGCTGTTTAACTGGGGGTGAGAGGTACTTCATATAGTGGTTTAGCAAAGTGTTGGAAGTTGATGGGACTGAGAGCCTACCATCCTCTGGAGGGCCACAAATTCCTTATCCCAATCCTGCCAGACCCGTCTGACCACAGTCAGAGCACCAAGCGGGACCACAGTCAGAGCGCCAAGTACAGAAAAGTTACCTCCAGCTCAACAGGCTGCCCTGTGCTCTGTGATATTGAGGGAAGGGATGGCCCTTTAAAAAAAACCAGCCCTCTGCAAGACTACGTAGTTAGTAAATATGAATTTATTGTTTTTTTATCCTTTAATGCAAAACAGGCATCAAGAAGGATGTGCCAGCTGAACTCACTGGATAGTTTTATTTTACCCACTGGACTCTCTAATTTGTTTTGATTTTATCAGGATATTCGTCAGCGAGCCTCCTTCTGTGTATTTGTCAAGGCATTTCTTACTCAATGTTTATTTGCTAATAATTCCTGCTTCCCGGCCAACCATGCACACACCCTTTCTTTCTTTCTTTCTTTCTTTCTTTCTTTCTTTCTTTCTTTCTTTCTTTCTCTGTCCCTTGTTTACATGTCCCCCACTGTTATCAGCAGTCCACACACACACACCCCTCTGATGTACAAATTATATTCTCTTGGCACCTGGAGGCCACTTATCCCAATCTATAGTAAACCTTAAGGTTAGCATCTGTTTTGTTATGAGATACAAGACACTTCCAGACCTGTCACTATTTTCAGGGGAATTCAATCACATAACGGCAAATTCAGGTCTTGTAATAGTAGATTGTGAGGTCTTGTGTGACAAACCTGCTTCCTCAAAAGATTGGACTTTTTGCAGTGAGGAAAGTGATAGGGAAAGTATGGAATAACTCTTGCTTTGATGCAACACCATCTAACCTCCCTGCAAACAAATTGAGACAAATGCTCATTAAATAACCAATATCATCAAATCTCCCTGGAAACAGAGCAGGATGACTGGTCAATGCACAGGTCATCTGAAAGTGCCCATTGTCTGTTACTTAATATCACCAGTGCTGTTTATTAGGAAGCAAACTGAATGAATCTCATAAGATGATGATACAGAGCCTGAAGAAGCAATTCAAGCAACACAAATACATCTCTCTGTCCTTCTGCAGTGGGAAGCTTCTTCACCTTAAGATTGGCTTCTTTTGGTCTGCCGGTTATTAATTGGTAGTGCCTGTTGTGGGCCTCTCTGCCAAATACTTCCCCCCCCCTCTTGAGCCTCCAGCCTGTTCCTCCCCTGTTAACAGACGGACACTTTTGGCTCATGCGTAATATATGCAAACAACCAGTTGGAAGGGTCTATGTACGAATTACTGGCTTAAAATGCAGCTCGGCTGCTCTTTTCCTCAATTCGGATTGAAGCTGGTGTGGGAGAAAACACACCAAAATACAGTATTGCATAAGAAAAAAACAGGATAGATACCTTATATAGATACAGATTGTGAACACTGTGTGTACACTGGCTTCCCAAACTAACAAGGGGAGCACACTGGATGCAGAGCAAACAGGAATGTGTACACAGCCAGGTAGCGGCAAATAAAGTGCCGTCTGAATGGAGCCTAATATAAGGCAGAATGAATCCACCACAAATGCACTGTTATGGTGTAAAGGACATGCTGCTGAATACGTGAGCCTGGAGGGGTGTCAAACCAAGATGGTCCTTGTACCTGCAGCCTATGCAGCACCAGTTGTTTCTGTGCAGGTGGTGGCGAGGGAACTAGGATTTGCCTGTGTCTACCAGCTATTTGCAAGTAGATTTTCACATGCAACCTGCTTCAGGTGCCCTAGGAATTCTGTATCGACACACATTCACTACTTTTTAAATCAAAACTCAAAAATGTCAAAATTTACAAAAAATTATGAGCGAGAGACCTGCACGTCAGGTGCCTCAATTGGTGGTTTCAGCAGGAAGAGCTGGCATTCTTAACATATATCCAATGTGATTTATTTGTATCTTGTGGTTTTCCTGCTCCTTATTGATTTGATTCTTCTGTTGTATTTACTGCATCTTTGTTGTATGTTTCTTCCTTATTGGAAAATATTTTTATTCGTCAGTTACTGTAATGAATGAGTTGCTTTAAGCTCAGCCTGGCCGTTGGCAAAGTGAAATACAAATATGAAACATATTTCAGTTTCAAGAAGAAAAATAGTTTTCTTTCTTTTGCATCTCTGCCCCTCAAACATTTAGGGTGCTAGCTTAGTTTTTAAAAAGAAAAATAAATATATAGAGTCTACGTGTGTATGCCTAAGCATTTGCAAGGGTTGGGGTTGGCCTTGCTGCTTTCGATTGTTGACGTCCTGCCTCTTATTCTGGCTTTCAGCTTGAATTCTCAGGCAGCTCTGCCTTCATCTTTACCCTGCCATCTGGAATCTCCATTCACATGCTAAGATGCCGCGAGGAGCATCCCCCCTCTTGCTGCTTCTCTGGGCCAAAATGGTCTCCTCCACATGGTATGAAGGTAAGCACTGACAAGTCAGTACCAAAGTCAGGCAGGGGGAGTGGGGATAACCATAAGAACAAAGGTGTTAAGACTTTTTGCATTTTCTCAAAGGCAGCCTTCCTTGGGTAGCAGGCCCTTAGGCAAGTGCCCTCAGGTAATAGCAGGCTACCTACAGGTGTGTGGCACATTCAGCTCCATTCCAAAGAGTGCAGCACCAGCACCATAGTGAAGGCACCACCACTGCTGCCTTCGCCGCCATGCAGCACTACTGGTAACAGGCCTAGGAAAGACCCCTGGCCTCAGAGATCTGGTTGCCACTTGGAGAGGACAGTAGAGTGGCAAATGGACCTATAGCCAGACTTGGCCTGAGACAGGCACGTCTATTTTTATACACATTGTAATTAGCTGTGGTCTCCTTTTGGCCACAGCTGCCATCCGAGCAAGACCACAGTCAGTCTGTACAATAGTAGGGTATCTTTGTCAAAGAAGCCCCCAAGGAATAGGCAATAGGAAGCGGGGAGGAGCACCCAGACATCCTGCAACTCCTTCGCCACAAAAGCATTGCAAATAATAACCCATCGTGGAACTAACTGTGGTTCCTGCTTTGCTGGGGGCAAGGGAGGGCAGATGGATACGCATCTGGGGTTAGGACCATACCTAGATTGAAGTAAATATAGACCATACCTAGATTGAAGTAAATATAATTCTGCCCCCCTCCCCCTGCAATAGCAGGAGCTAAATTTTTCCATATGTCCTGTCTCTGGCTGATGAGGAGACCACTTGGCAAGCGATGGTTTGTCTGGAACAGTTTCAGACAGTAAGCAGTGGGGTTGGGGTGTCAACAGGGACTTGGGGGCTGGCAGTGAGTAAGCCTCTTTCCTTCCTCCACTAAGCTTCTGAGTTTCTTATGCCTCTTGGCTCTCATGCGTTCCGCTAAAAGTCCAGCCATTGCCTGGTCACTGTTAGGCAAGCAAATAGCTTCAGGAGACACAGTTCTTATTGCAGTCGTCTCTAAATGTTTCTGGGAAACCTTGCAACAGATGTGCTTTGCCACATGTGCATGAGGCTTAAAAGGCCCTGCCTGTACAAGCTTGGGTCCTTTTCCTGGGCCAGGCTGCTGTGGCTTTAATGGCAACAAGACAGAAAAGGATTTCAGCAGGCAATGTTTTCCCCACCCTCTCTAAAAAGCAACAACCCCAAAACAATTATGAACATAGGAAGAGTCCTGCTGGGTAAGTCCAGCATCCTGTTTTCATAGTGGCCAACCAGATGCCCATGGGAAGCACCAAAACAGGATCTGAGTGCAACAGCAGTCAATTAGCTCAGTTGGTTAGAGCTTGGTGCTGGTAATACCAAGGTTGCAGGTTCAATCCCTGTATGGGACAGCTGCATATTCCTGTCTTGCAGGGAGGCGGGTTGAACGAGATGACCCTCGGGGTCCCTCCCAACTCTTTTGTTGTTTAGTCATTTAGTCATGTCCAACTCTTCGTGACCCCCTGGAACAGAGCACGCCAGGCACTCCTGTCTTCCACTGCCTCCCGCAGTTGGTCAAACTCATGCTGGTAGCTTCGAAAACACTGTCCAACCATCTCATCCTCTGTCGTCCCCTTCTCCTTGTGCCCTCCATCTTTCCCAGCATCAGGGTCTTTTCCAGGGAGTCTTCTCTTCTCATGACGTGGCCAAAGTATTGAAGCCTCAGCTTCACGATCTGTCCTTCCAGTGAGCACTCAGGGCTGATTTCCTTCAGAATGGAGAGATTTGATCTTCTTGCAGTCCATGGGACTCTCAAGAGTCTCCTCCAGCTCCCAACTCTACCATTCTATGATTCTATGATTCCCAGCAGCTGAAACAACCTACCTCTGACAGCACAGACAGCACGTGATTGCCAGTAGCCACTGGGTATGGTAGGCAAATTTGTTTCAGTGGCAGCTGAAATCTCCAGTTCTTGTGCCGTGTGGATCTAAGATAACTCTGCCCACATTGCAGCACCAATGCTAGGTTTGGTTCAGACAAGGCTGGTCTATCTCTCAACCCCCAGCTATGAGCTGTGGTGAAAGAGTTGGTTTAGATTTCTTCATTTCCATCTTGGAAAAGTGTGGCCACATTTGTGATTGCTGGAGCTACAACCACTACAGGCTATGAAGGCTGACTCAGCCCTTTCCTTGCAAGGAGATGGTTAGACATACATCAGACTTTCCCTAGAGGCTGTTGGTGCAGGAACATGACATTGGAGAAGGACAATTTATGAGTGGGAAGGTAGTACCCCACAGGACGTCATTGTGTGTGGTGTGTACACGTTCTCCATGGGGATGCTGTCTAGACTAGTATTCATCCTCTCCCTGCTCCTCTCTCCTGACTACTTCCCATTGCAAAACAATGGGAAGCTTGCTAGCCAGAAAGAGGCAGTGCTCCAAGCAGCTTGGTCTACACACCATTAAGATTCCCAACTTGAATCAAAATACTGGACCAAGGAAATAAATGTAACAGGAACCAGAGAAAGCATCAGTAAGTGGAGTCCTGGCAGCTGCCCCAGGATACCAGGTGCTGCAACTGGCCCTTGCCTCTGAGCATCATCCAAACCTGGATAAAGTGAGCAAGAGCTGCTGCTGCTCCTTCCTCCTTACTTCCATCAGTGGTCACACACTGGGAGAGGTCAGACTGCACAAGCAACAACAGGAAGGAGCACAAATAAAAAGACGGGGGGTTCCAGGAACTGGCTTCAAGAACCCTGCTGGGCTAGCCTGCGGGCCTTGGCAGAAGCTCAATGGCACTGACTCCTGACCCTGCCCTTTAGTGCTAGGTCGTCTCTCTTGAAACATACAAGGCAGCTGTGTCTCTGGGCATGTGCAGCATGCATCCCAGTCATCATTGCCAGCGGGAGTGGGTGGGTGGGTGAGGAGCAGCTTTTCCATCCTAGGTATTTTGCACTTAGCCAGCCTCAGGCTTCTTATAGACATGAAGCGATGCTCTCAAGCAGGGCAACGGAAACATCTGGTCTTTCGCTTAGCAGAGATGTGGTTTCAGAGCTAATGCAGAAGATGTTGTGCCTCGTTTCAAGCATGGGTGCTAAAATTAAGAGGTGGGTCCATTCACAGACAGGAACAGGAATGATTCATGAGAGTGCCTGGGTGATGGGAATGAACTGTGGCCTCTGGAATTAGAGGGAACCCAGTGGAAATGTGACCTAATTGTGTTGGAATGCCAGCAGACAGCTCTTATTCATTCATCTGGGATCCAAATTTATTCTGCTCCAATTCACTATAAAAGATATTTTTGTCTCCACATATGTCTTTCACTGATTTTTGTGGAAACGCTGGAAAGAGACACACACACACACACACACACACACACTCCTGCATTTGTTTTGTCTAAAGCAAAAAAGGAAAGAGATGCTTGCAATCTATCCTTCTGGCATACATACACAGGAAAAGGCAGCCTTCAAAGTGATCCAACTGTTACGGAGGGTTTGGTTAGCATGCATAGGCGTAGCCAGAGGGGCAGCTGCTCCCCCCTACACACTATCAAGAAAAACAAAAGAAATACTTAACTGACCAATCACATTGGTTCTGCCCCCCCCAAGAATCCTGGCCACGCCCATGTTAGCATCACCGTTCTTCCAAGGTCAATAATCCTACAAGTAGGATCCCAGATTTTTCTTAGAGGCTGCTGCTGAAAACTTACGCAGAACACCTCATTGCAAGGCCAGCTTTCCACATGTTGGATACCCAAAGGACCGTTTGGAAAAGGCATCCTGAGTCTGCCCAGCATTACATCATACTGAACACTTGAAACTTCCTTATCCTCGGTCAGGAGTATGAATAGGGTGATCCAGCAGATATTAGACGCTTGGAGATTCAATCAGCAAAGGCTCCTGAGAAGCTTAACAGTTATGGGATAAGGGAACAGGGGTCATCTTATGGATCAGTAACTGGTTATAGAGCAGCGAGCAGAAAGTAGGAATAATGGAGAGAAGGGAAAAGTAGCCCCCCCCCCCGAATCTGTGTTAGGATAGGAATAGGTTAGGGAGTTGTTCAGGTGCCCTACACGTTTTGGGCGAAGGCATGTTGGCCCCCTCAGACTCATGTGTGGATTGGAACTGTAGGTTGGTCTGCGTCTTTATAGAAAGGTTGCATAATGCCGTTTCTTAGAATAGCTGATTATAGCAGCTGAACTCCCCCAACAAAGAAAGCAATTTGAATCTATTTTTTTATGAAACAAATGAGACATGTAACAAAATGTTGCAGCATCAAGTGCTGCTGATTCCAGTACTGTAGCTTCATTCTGTTCCTCCCAACTAAAAGCAACAGGCTGGCAGGATTCCAGGGACAGAGCATACTCAATCCTTATGAGCTGTTTCAGGAAGAGGGGTTCTCTATTAGGGTGATTTTTTATTATTATTATTTTTAAAAATGTGCATCTGCAAACCTTGGGCATCCCCAAGCCTTCTGGTTCCAAGGGAGTGGATGATACAGTTTTCACTGCGTAAGAGCTTTACAGTCTAAACATCAGAAATAAGGCTCACCCACACTTCTGTTAGTCCCATGATTCATTCTGTTTGTCCCATAATTTCTAGGAATGGGTCTGAGCGTTTTTCCTTTTGCCCCACAACTTTCCCTGGAAAAAAACCACTTTTTTTAACCACTGAATCAGAACAAAGGTCAATATGCAGAAAACCCAACTGATGTTCTCTGCAAACAGTGGGTTTTTCCTGTGGAAAGTGGCAGGACAAATGAAGACCCTCTCAAACCTGTACCTAGAAATCGTGGGACAAGCCTAAGTGTGGATGAGCTCGTAGAGGGAATGGTTTAGGCAGCAGCCAGCGAATATTTCATCATCATCATCACCCTCGGAATTTTATTTCCTTGCATTTGTGAATCACTTCCCATGAGGCACCCCAAAGCGATTCACAAAATAATAAGCTATATAGAACAGGTTCACATATAAAAGCAGTTAAAACAATTGCAAACATAAAAACGATTATTAAAAATGATTGTAACTATAAAAAAAAGTTTAAGACAGCAGCATATAGATAAAATCAGTTCAGATTCAAGACAGATACCAAGTGGAATAAAGGTTTCAGAAGGCTTGTTTGAAAGTGAACATTTTTCGCAGGCAATACTGGGGGTGCCTGTCTGATATGCATTGGGAGGGAGTTCAGCCATGCAAAAGGTCCGATTCCATTATTGTGCAGAATAGACCTCCTAACAGGATGGTAAGTGCAGGGCGTTGCGTGTCAAGGTCCCCAAGCCACCCCTACATAAATTCACACTTCACACCATAATTTTTGTTTAAGGTTTTTGGCATAATTTTGGCCACAACTTTATTAAAATACAATGTGAGTGGTTGCTTAGGCATTGGTTATGACTATCTGTCCCCGCCTAGGGACAGAACTGACATCCGCAAGCCTGCGAAGTCAGTAAGGCAAAGCATTTTATGGGGAGTAGATGGAGCTGGGTACGAGACCCTCACCTCTCCCCAAATGCTCCCAGGGGCTCTTGCGTGGCCCTATCCCCCTTTACAGGGGTGCGGACAAAAGCATGGCGAGCCGATGGATTCCTTTAATGGAATACCCTTGCAGCAGCAGCATTGGAGGGGCAGGCACAGCCAAACCATACCCCTCCACCAACCAATTTTCTAAAACCAAAGCCTAACCGCAACCTTACAAGTTGTGACGATTTGCTATGCAGGAGGCAAAAACCAAATGGCACCAGCCAATCAGCCAAATGGACAAAATTCCTACTGGGCCCCTGCCCCAAGAACAGACGACCCCATGACAGGCATAGCAAGGTCAAATGCAACAAACACCCTAAAATTAGGGCAGGTGATCTGATGCGCGCAGCAAAAAGAGGAAGCTCAACACTGCACTCAGGGAATATATTCAACTCAGGCTGTCACTCAAAATTGGCAACATCAAACTCTCCCCAGCAACCCTAGGAGTTCAATCATACTTTGGGCCAACCAAACCAACTTGCTCAGCAACAGGGGGTGTCTGGTTAACCCCACCGCAACCCACACTCTTCATGAAGGAGAACACGCTCTCTCTCCTACAGAATGCAGTGATTGGTTGAGTATGTAGCAGCTGAGGTGGTCCTAGCATGTCCCAAGCCTATCCTGGTTCCAAGCTGTATATTGTTTTGTGCACTGATACCAGCACCTTGAACCTCGCCTTGTAGCTAGGTGCAATTATTTCAGCAGCGAGGTAGTAAGATGGTGATATTCTACCCCAGTGAGCAGCTGAGCTGCCACATTTTGCACTAGCTGCAGCTTCTGGGTCAGCTTCAAGGGCAGCACCACACAGAGCATATTGCAGTAATCCAACCTGGAGGAGATTTTACCAGTGCATGGCTGACAGTGGTCAGGCGAGCCCAACCCGGAAATAGTTGCAGCTGCCTTACCAACTGAAGCTGGTAAAAAGGCTTAATAGATTATAAAGTCTCTTCTTCCATGCCATCTCCATGTTGCTTCCTGCATTTAACAGACCTGGCATAAAAAACTGTTTAGTCTGGTGGTTCATGCCAGCAGCCCTAACCAGGCTGCTCCTGGGAAGAAATATTTGTGCAAGAACTTTTTTCGGAGAGTATATGCTCTAATGATTGGTTTTGAGGTTGTGGAATCCAGTTCACAAATGTACATACCCTCCCCTCCCTTGACCTACTGAATTCAACACCAGATGCTATTCATAAAGGGATTTTAGCAGGCAGAGCCTCACCTTTCTAGGTGCCTTATTCACCAACTTCGATGCCCTTTCGAGGATGTTTCAGAAGATGACAAGTTGCAACCAAGATTTGCAAGACCTGCATGATGGATCCCAACATAAAGCAACTTCTTAATGCCTCTCCTCAAGTACTATATAACTTTGGAGACATTTATAAGATCACTTTGCTTGTGAGGAAAAGGTGCTGGAAACTTGTGCTGTCTTAGTATAATTTTGATTTGCAAATGTACAGGCAGAACAGGCAGAACTCAAGTAGGCATAAGAAAAGTCCCAAAGCTTATTCTTCTGACTGGGGCTTTTAAAAAATTATTCTTTCTCTCCCTCCACCAACCCCACCAGAGGTGGATTTTGAGCAGTGCATCCAGTTCAGTCACATTGAGCGTGGAGACTTGGGGGGTGGCGCAACTAGGATTTAGAATGGAGCATGAGAGGTGGGGGGGTGTTTTGCTGAATTTTGATGTCTCACACAGGGCACCACTGAAATTTGAGACCCCAAGATCCACTACAGACACCCTTTGTTTCTTTTTCTTACCATCCGGCTTGAAGAAGACCTTTGGAGGTGAAACGCATGTGACATTTCAGTCAGTCCTATTAAATACATTTTCCTGCATTTCTGGATTTTTGCCCCTGACCTGCCTCCCCTCCCATCTACCCAGGACAAACACAGCTACCTGCTGCAGTTTGTGCCTTGTGCATTTGTGTAATCAGTAGCAAAATTTCAAAAAAAATCCCCAACAGACAGATCAGGGACCAAGATGATTTCTAGGGATGAGGAACCAAACTCAAGACTTCCCCTGGGCAATGGCATCATTGGCACAGATTTGGAACCAATTTGGCAGTCTGCATCATTGTGGGGGTGATGTTACTCTGATTTGGGACAGAAACAAGCAGGGCTTCCCCCCCCCCATCCGGAACTCATTGGAACTCACCTCTCAGGTGGGTGCCATTGCCATTTTAAGAGAACAAGGGAGGTGTTCATGGTGAATTCCGGCACCTGTTTTCTAGAAAAAGAGCACTGGGAACAAGGATAATAATAATAATATTATAATAATTTATTATTTGTACCCCGCCCATTTGGCTGGGTTTCCCAAGCCACTCTGGGCGGCTTCCAACAAAGATTAAAAAAAAATTAAATGTCACACATTAAAAACTTTCCTGAACAGCCTTCAGATGTCTTCTAAATGTCAGGTATGTAGACCATGGGTAGGCCTGGGGGCCGGATCCAGCCCAATCGCCTTCTAAATCCAGCCAGCAGAAGGTCCAGGAATCAGTGTGCTTTTACATGAGTAGAAAGTGTCCTTTTATTTAAAATGCATCTCTGGGTTATTTGTGGAGCCTGCCTGGTGTTTTTACATGAGTAGAATGTGTGCTTTTATTTAAAATCTGGGTTATTTGTGGGGCATAGGAATTTGTTCATTTCCCCCCCCCTCCAAAATATAGTCCGACCCCCCACAAGGTCTGAGGGACAGTGGACTGGCCCCCTGCTGAAAAAGTTTGCTGACTCCTGATGTAGACAATCTGGAGATGAGCATTGTCACTTTCTGTTTCTCCCTCCTTTGTGCCAGGATCTGGCTACTCCGCTGCAGAAAGGCAAACCAACGAGGTGTATGCTGAAGAAACCTCCCATGTTCTTGCTCCAGAATATCGAGGTAAGCATTTTCAGATTGGTAGAGCTAAATAATCTTAAAAAGTGCACTGCCATCCAAACAATGTTGGACTACGACTTCCATCAGCACTGACCATTGGCCAGGCTGAGTAGGGCTGATGGGAGTTGGGGGTCTAATGACATATGGAGGCCAGCCATTCTTAGTAATTTTCATGTGATCTCTTGGAAGGCCCAGCTGTGCCCATGTCACACATACATCATTCTCTGGGGGAGGGGGCAGTTTGGGGCATCTTTGGAAAGGCGCCATCTTTTTGGCTCTTCATCCCTCCTGCAGCCTGAGGGATGCAAGAGGCAAGCAGTAAGGGTGTCAGGAACCCACCTACACACATTGATTGGAGGTGTGAGAAGAGAATGGGACCTCAATTACTAGCCCCAGTGCAATCACCATACACCCACTAGCCATACTTCTCAGGGGCTGAACATAGAGCATTAGTGAGCAAGGACTGTAGGCATATAGGGGTCTTACATGGAACTGCCTCTAGGTTCCCAGTTGTGAGGAAGAGCCCTGTATGCTCAAACATTGGGTGAGCATATTCTCATTAATGGAATGCTTCACATGCTTGGTGTGTGGTGTCTATGCACTCCTAGGCCCCACTTGCATTTCAAGCACTATAATATTGCTGTAACAGTCGTGGCTTTCCCCAAAGAATATTGTTGTTGTTGTTTAGTCGTTTAGTCGTGTCCGACTCTTCGTGACCCCATGGACCAGAGCACGCCAGGCACTCCTGTCTTCCACCGCCTCCCGCAGTTTGGTCAGGCTCATGTTTGTAGCTTCGAGAACACTATCCATCCATCTCATCCTCTGTCGTCCCCTTCTCCTTGTGCCCTCCATCTTTCCCAACATCAGGGTCTTTTCCAGGGAGTCTTCTATTCTCATGAGGTGGCCAAAGTATTGGAGCCTCAACTTCACGATCTGTCCTTCCAGTGAGCACTCAGGTCTGATTTCCTTAAGAATGGATGCGTTTGATCTTCTTGCAGTCCATGGGACTCTCAAGAGTCTCCTCCAGCACCATAATTCAAAAGCATCAATTCTTCGGCGATCGGCCTTCTTTATGGTCCAGCTCTCACTTCCATACATCACTACTGGGAAAACCATGGCTTTAACTATATGGACCTTTGTTGGTAAGGTGATGTCTCTACTTTTTAAGATGTTGTCTAGATTTGCCATCGCCTTTCTCCCAAGGAGCAGGCATCTTTTAATTTCGTGACTGCTGTCACCATCTGCAGTGATCATGGAGCCCAAGAACATAAAATCTCTCACTGCCTCCATTTCTTCCCCTTCTATTTGCCAGGAGGTGATGGGACCAGTGGCCATGATCTTCGTTTTTTTGATGTTGAGCTTCAGACCATATTTTGCGCTCTCCTCTTTCACCCTCATTAAAAGGTTCTTTAATTCCTCCTCACTTTCTGCCATCAAGGTTGTGTCATCTGCATATCTGAGGTTGTTGATATTTCTTCCGGCGATCTTAATTCCGGCTTGGGATTCATCCAGCCCAGCCTTTCGCATGATGAATTCTGCATATAAGTTAAATAAGCAGGGGGACAATATACAGCCTTGTCGTACTCCTTTCCCAATTTTGAACCAATCAGTTGTTCCATATCCAGTTCTAACTGTAGCTTCTTGTCCCAAATAGAGATTTCTCAGGAGACAGATGAGGTGATCAGGCACTCCCATTTCTTTAAGAACTTGCCATAGTTTGCTGTGGTCGACACAGTCAAAGGCTTTTGCATAGTCAATGAAGCAGAAGTAGATGTCCTTCTGGAACTCTCTAGCTTTCTCCATAATCCAGCGCATGTTTGCAATTTGGTCTCTGGTTCCTCTGCCTCTTCTAAATCCAGCTTGCACTTCTGGGAGTTCTCGGTCCACATACTGCTTAAGCCTGCCTTGTAGAATTTTAAGCATAACCTTGCTAGCGTGTGAAATGAGTGCAATTGTGCGGTAGTTGGAGCATTCTTTGGCACTGCCCTTCTTTGGGATTGGGATGTAGACTGATCTTCTCCAATCCTCTGGCCACTGCTGAGTTTTCCAAATTTGCTGGCATATTGAGTGTAGCACCTTAACAGCATCATCTTTTAAAATTTTAAATAATTCAGCTGGAATATCATCACTTCCACTGGCCTTGTTATTAGCGATGCTTTCTAAGGCCCATTTGACTTCACTTTCCAGGATGTCTGGCTTAAGGTCAGCAACCACACTACCTGGGGCATACGAGACATCAATTTCTTTCTGGTATAGTTCCTCTGTGTATTCTTGCCACCTCTTCTTGATGTCTTCTGCTTCTGTTAGGTCCTTTCCACTTTTGTCTTTTATTATGGAAATCTTTGTACAAAATGTTCCTTTCATATCTCCAATTTTCTTGAAGAGATATTTTTTGGAAATCTGCATTCAATTTCCTGTATCTTTCACTATCTCCCTCGCATTTTGCTTGCCTTCTCTCCCCCGCTATTTGTAAGGCCTCGTTGGACAGCCACTTTGCTTTCTTGCATTTCCTTTTCATTGGGATGGTTTTAGTTGCTGCCTCTTGTATAATGTTACGAGCCTCCACCCATAGTTCTTCAGGCACTCTGTCCACCAAATCTAAATCCTTAAACCTGTTCCTCACTTCCACTGTGTATTCATAAGGGATTTGACTTAGATTGTATCTTACCGGCCCAGTGGTTTTTCCTACTTTCTTCAGTTTAAGCTTGAATTTTGCTATAAGAAGCTGATGATCTGAGCCACAGTCAGCTCCAGGTCTTGTTTTTGCTGACTGTATAGAGCTTCTCCATCTTTGGCTGCAGAGAATATAATCAATCTGATTTCGATGCTGCCCATCTGGTGATGTCCATGTGTAGAGTCGTCTCTTGTGTTGTTGGAAAAGTGTGTTTGTGATGACCAGCTTGTTCTCTTGACAGAACTCTATTAGCCTTTGCCCTGCTTCGTTTTGAACTCCAAGGCCAAACTTGCCAGTTGTTCCTTTTATCTCTTGACTCCCTACTTTAGCATTCCAATCCCCTATTATGAGCAGAACATCCTTCTTTGGTGTCACTTCTATAAGGTCTTGTAAGTCTTCATAGAATTGGTCAATTTCAGTTTCTTCAGCACCAGTAGTTGGTGCATAAACTTGGATTACTGTGATGTTAAAAGGTCTGCCTTGGATTCGTATCGAGATCATTCTATCATTTTTGAGATTGCATCCCAGTACAGCTTTCACCACTCTTTTGTTGACTATGAGGGCCACTCCATTTCTTTTACGGGTTTCTTGTCCACAGTAGTAGATATGATAGTCATCCGAACTGAATTCGCCCATTCCCGTCCATTTTAGTTCACTGATGTCCTTCATGGATCACTGCCTTGCCGTGGCGAAGGGGCTTGAATAACTCAGAGAAGCTATCAGCTATGCCGTGCAGGGCCACCCAAGATGGACAGGTCATAGTGGAGAGTTTTGACCAAACGTGATCCACCTGGAGCAGGAACTGGCAAGCCACTCCAGTATCCCTGCCAAGAAAACTCCATGGACAAAGACAACAGGCAAAGAATATTGGGAACTGTCATTTGTTAAGGGTGTTAGGAGACACCCTCAGGACACCCCCTATTCCCCTCACAGAGCTACAATTCCCAGAGTTCCCTGGGAAAATGAATTGTTTGTTAAACCACTCTGGGAATTTTCCACTCTGTGAATAGGGGTCTCCTACACAACTCTAAGCGTGGGATGCTGTGGGTTAAACCACAGAGCCTAGGACTTGCCGATCAGAAGGTCGGCGGTTTGAATCCCTGCAACGGGGTGAGCTCCCGTTGCCTGATAAATAGGTACCGCTCCGGCGGGAAGGTAAATGGCGTTTCCGTGCGCTGCTCTGGTTTACCAGAAGTGGCTTAGTCATGCTGGCCACATGACCCGGAAGCTGTACGCCGGCTCCCTCGACCAATCAAGCGAGATGAGCGCCGCAACCCCAGAGTCGGTCACAACTGGACCTAATGATCAGGGATCCCTTTACCTTTAACAACTCTAAGCACCCTTAGCAAACCACAGTTCCCAGGTGGTATAAAGGTAAAGGTAAAGGTACCCCTGCCCGTACGGGCCAGTCTTGCCAGACTCTAGGGTTGTGCGCTCATCTCACTCTAGAGGCCGGGAGCCAGCGCTGTCCGCAGACACTTCCGGGTCACGTGGCCAGCGTGACAAGCTGCATCTGGCGAGCCAGCGCAGCACACGGAACGTCGTTTACCTTCCCACTGGTAAGCGGTCCCTATTTATCTACTTGCATCCGGAGGTGCTTTCGAACTGCTAGTTTGGCAGGCGCTGGGACCGAACGACGGGAGCGCACCCCGCCGCAGGGATTCGAACTGCCGACCGTGCGATCGGCAAGTCCTAGGCGCTGAGGTTTTACCCACAGCACCACCCGCGTCCCAGGTGGTATAAGAGTGCTAAATATATAGTTGTGGTCAGAGAGACTGAGGGGAGCCTTGTAGGCCATCTAGGTAATTTACCTGCTCAAATTGGAAAACTTAGAAACAGAAGAGCCCACCACAATGTTGGGTCCCTATCTGCACTATAAAGCAGTATCATAACACTTTAACAAGCCATGGCTTCCCCCAATGAATCCTGCGAACTGTAGTTTGTAAACAGTGCTAGGCAACCATTGTGGGCTGATATTTCTCTTTTGCCTTTCACACAACCGTCCTTTGACCTGCCTGGATAATGCTAGCCATGGGGTCCTATGGGGACAGCCAACAGCTGCTGTTTTGCTCTGTGGCTGGGTCAGCCCTGACTAAAATAATTGATGTAAGGGCAGGGAAACAGCTGGCACAAAATTAATTTACCACAGTTCCTGAATTCAGAAGTTTGCCTGAAATGTAAAATTAGGGGCAGCTAGTTGGGGAAGCTCCAAGGCTGTGCTATTGTTCACCAGAGCTGGGCCCCTGGGTCTGGTTTTCAAAGCCTGGAGCTTGTTAAGGAACAATAACAAAGAAAATTCCACAGAGCACACACAGAGTGCTTTCTTCCATGGCCAAATAACTAACCATACTAGACAGACCTTATCCAGAGAACTCAGCCTGGTTCTGTGGGCCACACTTTTAAGGAGGATACAAATTGAAAGGAATTTAGTGGCACGTGGGGGGGGGTGAAGATTGTCTATGTGGTACAGAAAGCAAATCCTATGAGGAAAGTTTAAAGAAACTGGGGGTGTTTAGCCTTGGAAAGAGAAGTCAGAGGTGGACACGACAGATATCTTCTTATTGCTGAAGAGATGTCGGATAGAAAAGGACAAAAACTCACTATCTGCTGTCCCAGAGTGGGCAGAAGTAGTGCTGATGGGATTATGCCACAGGAGCATTAAATTTCAGTTGAACTTTGGGACAAACTTATTTGGGGTAAATAAATGCCCGATAAATATGCCATGATAAATACCATGATGGTATTACATTTTCTGTGTTTCACAGAAGCCTCATCCTTTCACAACCACTCTGTTGTTGTTGTTGTTTAGTCATTTAGTAATGTCCAACTCTTTGTGACCCCATGGACCAGAGCACGCCAGGCACTCCTGTCTTCCACTGCCTCCCGCAGCTTGGTCAAACTCATGCTGGTAGCTTTGAGAACACTCTCCAACCATCTCGTCCTCTGTCGTCCCCTTCTCCTTGTGCCCTCCATCTTTCCCAACATCAGGGTCTTTACCAGGGAGTCTTCTCTTCTCATGAGGTGGCCAAAGTATTGGAGCCTCAGCTTCACAACCTGTCCTTCCAGTGAGCACTCAGGGCTGATTTCCTTAAGAATGGATAGGTTCGATCTTCTTGCAGTCCATGGGCCACTCAAGAGTCTCCTCCAGCACCATAATTCACAACTACCCATCTTATTGCAAACAATGGGGGGCGCCCAGATCAAATTCCCCATGGTAGATCTGAACACATAAGCAGGTATATATGGGAGCTGGTGGTCCCTTGAGTTACGAAAGCTTTTGCTCTTTATAGCTAGAATACCTAGCTGAGGTTCTCTTTCTCTCTCTCTCTTTCTCAGTTCCCCAGTGGTGTCACCTGTTGAGCATTTATCATGGGGAGGCTACGTGCTATTCTCCCCGTGGAGGTAATTACCGCAGCAGCCTGGGGACGCGCTGCGAGCTTTCCTGCGACCGTGGATACCGCTTGATCGGCCAGAGGTCCGTACAGTGCCTGCTAAACCGTCGCTGGTCAGGACATGCCTACTGCAGACGTAAGTGTCACGCCAGTGTCCAGAGGCTGCTCCACATTACAGCCATCCTCAGGAAGCTCCATTAAAGTACTCAACATAGGGTGCCATCAACATAACCCAAGATGAGCCTGCAGGATAGCTCAGTTGGTAGAGCAAGATACTCTTAATCTCAGGGTTGTGAGTTCAAGTCCCATGTGGGGGGGAAAGATTCCTGCATTGCAGAGAGTTGGACAAGATGACCCTTGTGGTCATGGGCATAGCCAGGATTTTTGTTAGGGGGGGCAGAACCTCCGTTAGCTATGTACAGTATTTTTAATGTTTTTTGTTGATGGGGGGGCAGCTGGCCCTCCCTGCCCCCCTTCCAGCTGTGCCCATGCTTGTGGTCCTTATGATTCTATGTGTCAGAAGTAATTGCTGGCAGAGAACAGACATAAACATCTACTACGTATTTTGGAAAATTATCTGTTCACTTGTAGATTTTGGCACCTCTTAAGATATTGTCATAAAACTTTGCCTGCTCGTTGTTCCAGAGACCAATTTTTAATCTATGCTTCGATACAGCTGGGCATCATTTTTAATCAAGAAGACAGGCTGAATCTTTCAGAACTGTATTGATTTTCACCGCTGATTTCAAGAGTGCTTTATATCAAGGGCAAAAGGAGGTTGTGGGGGGACCGAGTATGAAGGACCAAGGGTTTCATAGAAAGGTCCAGGCATATTAATCCTGCACTATTAGAACAGCTCTCAGGCAGAGGAAGTGTCCGGCCTGATCCCTGCTATGCTGCAACACCAGAATTAGTTCTCTTAGCCAAGGCAGACCAGGCAACCTAAGGAGCCAATAGGAGCTGTTGTTCCAGGTCTGCTTCCTTAGTCTGAGTAACCTGTCAACATAGCAAAGCTCTCCCTCTTTGGATCATGCTGGTTCCTGGCACATATTGTTGAAGAATTGGACTTGCAGAGGGGAAGCAGGGAGCTGAATTCAGATTCCTGCTCAATTAGCTACTCTGTGACATGAATGAATGAATGAATGAATGAATGAATGAATGAATGAATGAATCTTTATTTGCATCAGCCATTGGCCATAGCAATAAAACAATACGATACACAAAGAATAGAAATAAGAAGTCAATTATATAAAATACATTTTAGGGTTTTGAATCAATAGTCAAATAGTGGATCTTATTCTGATTGCCCCAGCTAAAAACCTTGCATCCTTTGCTGTCCCCTGCTCATCTTGATTTGCCAAGAGAAAGGACACTGTGGCAGTGGCTGGGCAACCTGGAATGGACAATAAAAGAGGGGTGATAATCTCATTCCTCAAGGCTTTATAAAGAGTGCAAGCCAGAAGGGCATGCGCCACCAATTCGGTACTGCCATCTCCACAGGGACATACTGTAAGCATTTTTCACATGGAATCAGTTGGAATTGTCCCTCGAGTACAGCCGAGGGCAATGCATTCAATCTTGCGAGAGTAAAAGCGCGACTCTGTGACATGCCACTATCTCTTATGTTAACCTGCTGCACACAGGTGCATGGATCAGCTTCCCCCAAAGCACCCTCACAGTGCTACAATTCCCAGTACCTTTAACAAGCTTCAGTTCCCAGGATGTTTTTTTTTTAAAAAAAAAAAATCTGCTTAAAGTGCATGTTGCAGGCATGACCTTAATATTTTTGCTACAAAGCTTGAAACACTTTGAAGCTGGTGTCCAGGGGGTTGTAACTCCATGAAGAGGCTGAGGAACTTTCAAGTTCTCTTTCTGTGCACAGAGATTCGGTGCCCTACGCTGCCGGCAATCTACCATGGATCGTACCAGTGTTCAGATGGAGTCAAGGTCGATTCTCACTGTGACTACACCTGCCGGCCTGGATACCACCGGGAAGGCGATCGCAGTCGTGTGTGCTTAGAAGATGGACATTGGAGTGGAAGCGAGCCAATTTGTGTAGGTAAATTCTTCCCGGAGCCAACCACACATATTGCATGGAAGAAGTTGCCATTGCCACTACCAGAAATGTCAGAGAATTCTGATGGAAACAGAAACGGGAGGGGAAATTGCCCATGTACATGTACTTGACATATTTAAACTGGCTTTCCATCTGTTGGGCTATCACGGCTCCCTGAGAACTCCCTAAGAATCTTCTGTGCAGAAATCTCTCTGGCCACAACAATGGAACTACAGTTTCCAAAGACTGTTAAGGGAAATGGCCAATAACCAGCTGGGGATATGTCTTTTGGACAGCTAGCTACTCCACAGTCATTCAAACCACAACCTAAAGTATTTATTTAAGAATACTTATATCATGCTTTATAGCCCTGAGGGGCTCCCATTTGCCTTAGTTTTATTCCAGAGTTTTATCCCAGAGTTTTTAGTGCATTTCCATGTCACCTTCCCATCTGCAAAAAGTCCATTTTTTAAAAAAGTGGATTTGTTAAAAAAGAGCACTTTAATCCAGTTTAATGGCACAAACCAACATTTCCGGAATGCTCTTGAATCCCTCCTGCAAAATACTGACAATTTGGATGTGGCCAGTTATTTGTCATTCAGGCCCAAGGCGGAAACTTTCTTCCTAGTTGCTGCCTGTTTCCATGGAGTTCCTTTCTGATTCTACTCAAGCAGACATAGAGCCTCCGAAAATCCAATGTCCTGAGTCTCGAGAGCGAATGGCAGAACCCAACAAGCTGACAGCCACTGTGTACTGGGATCCACCTCGGGCAAAGGACTCTGCCGATGGTGTCATCAAACAGTAAGCTTGGGGGAGGCTGCAATGGGGTCTCAGCACTGTTTAATGATTCTTTTTGGAAGAAAAAGTTCAAACCCAGCCATCATATTTACATCCTGACATATCTCTCTGTCTTTCGAGTCCAGGATGACACTCCGGGGCCCAGAACCAGGATCCGAGTTTTCTGAAGGAGAACACATTATCCGCTACACCGTCTATGACCAGGCATACAACCGAGCAAGCTGCAAGTTTTTTGTGCGCATCCAAGGTAAAGGATAGGACCTTCCATCATATCTCCAAGGCATTACACTAAATGTGAGGTTGCTGCTTTTACACCTTTGCCTCTTCTCTTAAATAGGAGCAGTGAGAGAGCCATGGTTTAGATTTCAACCATGGGTCGGTTTTACCCCTGTCTCCAGGCCATGGTCCCGTTGGAAATTCTCTCCTCTGAGAGATTTGTTTGCCAATAACAACATTCCAATTGGAGAGAATAGCAGCTTGGCAGGTGGAGGTGGGGTATTTTTGGCAAGAGCAGTCCCGATCCGCATCAACTCCAGCCCCATCCAGCCCCATTCCTCTATGACTCCTGCCAGGGGGTTGGAAGATACAAGTTCAAACCATTCATTTAAAACAGCATGTGGTTTGGCACCAAGGCCAGACCAGGACATTTTGTTACTTGCTACAAATGCCATGTTCTGATCCGAAGCCAGGTCTGATGGGGAATGGGGCAAGGCAGAGTTGCAGGACCTTGGATAGTTCTGAACGAGCAAGGTTGGGAGCAGCCTGAGGAGTTCTAAGCTTCTGTTGCCAGACTACCTCTTCTAGAATCCACTCCCTTGTGGGATAACTTTAGATTGTTCCCAGTTCCTTGGGAACAGGTGGTTAAACCACTCTGATAATTGTAGTTCTGAAAGGATTAGGAGTTTTATAACAACACTCAGCACTTTTAACAGATTAGTCCCTAGGATCCCCTAGAGGGGGTGCCATGCCTGTCAAAGTGGCGCCACAGTAGTTTAAATGCACAAGTGTGGATGTGACCTGTGTTGTGTTGGAGGCAAGGAAGACTTTGGGTTCTGATTCCTAACCTTCCCTTCCACAGTGAGTCGCTGTCCTGTTCTAAAACCACCAGAGCATGGTTATGTCAGCTGCACCTCAGCAGGGAACAACTACGGAGCTACCTGCGAGTACCACTGTGATGGAGGCTATGAACGCCAGGGTGCCCCCTTGAGGGTCTGTCAGTCCAGCCGCCAGTGGTCTGGCTCTCAGCCCACGTGCATTCGTAAGTGTCTGTTGGGGTTGAGGGAAGAAGAGCTAGGGTAAAGGGCAACAGTTGTACCCAAAATCAGTTCTACTCAGAGTACACCCTTTGAAATGAATAGGTGTGATTTAACGTAGGTCTGTTGATTTAAAAGGGGTCTTCTCTCGAGTAGAACTTAACTGCATGCAAGCTTATAAGCAGCCTCACAGGTTGCTGCTGGGGGGAAAGCAGGATATACCTTTAAAACTAAGCCATGCCTCTGAGATCACAGTGATGCTTTCACCATGACATCACTGCCCTGAGCTCTAACTGACATCATCTCGGTTATTGTTTTCCATTTCTAACAGCAGCTGCGTCAGTTGGGGAGAAACCAGATTGCAGAGAGCATTTTTGGGTCCATTGTTAGATTAGCTAGGCATTGTATTTGCAGACAAAGCAGGCAATTGTTTCAAAATTAGCCAGCTCTAAAAACTCTCTCCAACTCCACCTACAGCTCAGTTAGAAAAAAACACATCAGAGCAGCCACTGCTTGGTGACATCAGCTTCAGCTCAGAGTATTGTTTTGCAATCAAGCATCACTGTGATCTTACGCAGTTAACGCAAGTATTTGTTTTAAATGTATTTGCCTCATTCCTGCTACAAGTGCGTGGAAGACACACACACACACACACACACACACACACACACACACACAAAACACACTCTGCAACTAGTATAAATTAAGGATAAATTAAGATAGGCAGTAAGAAAATGACAAAAAAATAAGATACCGCAGAAGGGGAGGAAGTCACAGAAAATATTATTCAATTTGTGTAGATTTATATCCATTGTTGAATGCTATTAAATGGGAAAATGCGAAATAAAATACGGGGGTGGGGTGGCTCTGATCTCAGAGGGATGTCTTAGTTTTAAATGTATATCCCACTTCCTAGTGTTAGCCCTACATGAGGATTGAAGATGCTTAAGTATCAGCTTCTTTGCGGTCCAAACATTCTCAAAAATCCTGCCTAAGGTTACACAGAGTGAAGCTTCTCCTCCACTGCACTTTTATGACATAAATCAAACCTGAAATCATTGCTACAACATTTACAGTGTGGTATCCATTCAATTCTCGTTTTGAATAGAGAAATAGAAACAAGGAGACGATTCAGGGCACACAGGCTATTCCAGATCTCAATGCTCCTTTGTGGTTCCACTGCTAAACATCTGAATGGGGTTTCTAAACACATGCAACTGAATACACTTGAAACCTCTGCGCAATCAGGAGTCATGACTTCTCTAGAACAGGGCCTTGTACCCAAGGAAACCTTTGAGCCAGATGCAATTCAATGTCATCTCACAGAATCTATTGAATGCTTTTCTACACTTTCCTGGCCCTATAGATATATGATCTGGAGTTCTTTACAAGTGTTATGAAAATGTTACTGTTCTGATGGCAGAAAATTATTATAGATGTTGAAGGAAACAGCGGTGGTGGACTTTGGGCTCTCAAATTTCATTGGGCTTGTTCTGAACTTTGGTTCAGATAGCTCAGTTGGTTAGAGTGTGGTGTTGATAACGCCAAGGTTGCAGGTTTGATCCCCATGTGGGATGGCTGAAAATTCCTGCATTGTAGGGGGTTGGACTAGATGATCCTTGGGGTCCCTTCCAATGCCGCAAGTTTCTAATTCTGTGAACTGGAAACCCCATTTCAGCATTGTTAGAACATGGGAGAGGAACCTGTGCTCCTTCAAATGTTCCTGGACTCCAACTCCAATCATCCCTGACCATTGACTATTACGGCTAGGGCTGATGTGAACTGGAGTCCAATAGCTGGAGGACCAGTGTTTCCTCATTCTCAACTTAGAACCTGGAAGAAATGGCTGTTGGGGCAGTGATGAATAACATATTCTCCTACCATGGTCCTTCTGAGCATATTGTTGCATTGCCAGCTTAAGAGCAGTGATTAAGGTAAAGGTAAAGGGACCCCTGACCATTAGGTCCAGTCGTGACCGACTGGGGTTTTGGCGCTCATCTCGCTTTACTGGCCGAGGGAGCCGGCATACAGCTTCCGGGTCATGTGGCTAGCATGACTAAGCCACTTCTGGCGAACCAGAGCAGCGCATGGAAACGCCGTTAACCTTCCCACTGGAGCGGTACCTATTTATCTACTTGCACTTTGATGTGCTTTCAGACTGCTAGGTTGGCAGGAGCAGGGACCAGGCAACGGGTGCTCACCCCGTTGCGGGGATTCGAACCGCCGATCTTTTGATCGGCAAGTCCTAGGCTCTGTGGTTTAACCCACAGCGCCACCCGCTGATTACAGGGAACCAAATCTTTTCACTAGCTGTAGGGCAACGCCCCTTAGTGTTCCTGAGGAGAGAGGACCGAAAGTGAAAGTGTGTGTGCTCAGCTCAGAGGACAAAGTGTAGACAAGATCCATTTGCACCATTGTGACCCACCATGTGAACCAATTTGGGTATCTGGGATGATATCCCTAGCAAAGGAGTGGGGGCAAGGAACCCATGGCCCTCCAGATGCTATTGAACTACAAGTCCCATCAGCCCTTACTAGCTATACTGATTGGGACTCAGATGAGTTGGAGTCCAACAGGTTCCCTTGACCTATTGTGTGAGCAAGGTTAGTAATCTGGCTCCACTCCCCAGGAAAGTAATAGCGGTGATGACAGAAAGGGAGCATTTGGGGGGGACACTCAGAGATGTTCGTCAGTACCCATTCCTACAGTGTGGCAGGTGGCCCTGCTGCCGCTATTACTGCTCTCCATTCTTCATATTGCTACCCATCTAGCATGTAACTGCAGCCATGCTAAAACCCTGTGTCTTCTCATGCTACTGTTAGCCATGCAGATCAATGTGGATGTGAACTCTGCTGCCGGCCTTCTGGACCAGTTCTATGAAAAGCGCCGGCTGCTCATCATCTCGGCTCCTGATCCTTCTGACCGCTACTATAAGATGCAGAACAGCATGCTGCAGGTAAGCCCTTCCTCTTGAGTTTCCATCTGAGAACTCACACCCTTCCTTCCCTTCTCCAGCTACTGGGTTCCTCCAACCATTTGCTTCTCTCTTCGCTGCAGCAAGCCACATGTGGGCTGGACTTGCGCCACATCACCGTCATTGAGCTGGTGGGGCTGCCGCCTCACGAGGTGGGGAGGATCCGTGAGCACCGACTCTCAGAGAACATCATTGAAGGGCTCAGGTTAGTGGTGCAGAGTGGCTGGCAGAGGTTCAGGTTCAAATCCCTGCTCAGTGATGAATGTTACTGGCCTTGGGCGACCACTTGCTGGGATGTTACAAAGAGAAGAGTGTGCATGATAAGGCAAAACAAAATGAAGAGGGGGTCTATTTTTTCAACATTTTTAATTTTTAATTTGAGCGGCTCAGCTACCACAAAATGTGGTGGTGACCACTTAGAATTTGACAATCTTTAAAGCCAACTGTCAGTGAGTGTATTAACTTATGATCTGTGTGTGTGGTTTGCGAGCTGCACGGTCAGGGGGAAAAACAATGCTGTCCAGGGTTGTAAAGACTGCGGAGAGAATAATTGGGTGCACTCTTCCCACCTTGGATCAAATCTATGCTTCCAGGTGCCATAAGAAAGCTGCAGAGATAAAGCACAGGATAGTGTGCACCCTGGAAATGGTTTCTTTCAGCTTCTGCCTTCTGAAGAAGGTACAGGGTTATAAAGACTAGGACTAGCCGCTTGAGAAACAGTTTCTACCCAAAAGCGATTTTTGTTTTAAACGCATTGTAAGGAGTCTGTATGGGGGTATATTGTATTTAAAAATGGGGTATCAGAGTTTTTAGGGGGCTAACCAGGTTGGGATAGCAGGCTTGTTGGGTTTTGAATGTTATATGTAGATTTTCAGTTTCGTTGTTCTGTATGGGACAATGACAATAAAGGTATCGTATCATATCGTACAAGCCAATATGGCTACATGCATCTTCCAGGTTCAGCAACAGTAGCTGTGGAACAATTAAAGGGCTGTTATTGTCTTCATGTCCTGCTTGTAAAATTGCAAGAAGCATTTGGGTGTCCGCTATTGGAAACAAGATGGTGGACTAAGTGGAGCTTTGATCTGATGCTGTGAAGATGGCACCAGATCCTTCATTCATCTCAGTGAACTGGCGTCTGGAATAAAATGTGGTGGACCCCGAGACGTATTTCGCTTTGCCTATATTGCTCCAGTTCTGACCCTTTGCCTATATTGCTCCAGTTCTGACCCTGTTGTAGCCACTGACTCACTCCATGATGCGGATAGATACCTTGGCTTTAGTTGCAGTGGAACAGCAAGCCAATAGCAAACTGGCAACTGGTGGCTTCTACTAGTTGTGAGCCATGGGGAAGCCAGCAACAGAGACACCCCCCCCCCAGAGATTGCAGTGATCAGGCAGGGACTGAAGGGCTCAGACAGTCCTAGAGTTATCCTGGTCCCAATGGCCTTATAAAATAATGCAAAAACATTGAACCTGGCCTGGTAACACATAAGCAGTCAATCAGTGCAAGCACTCAAGTTACATGCTGGCTCCCCAGGGTCTCTAGATATGGGGAAGCTGGGTATGGCCTTGCCCTTATTTGTCATCACATGGTGTCAGGAGCAGGAAAATTCAAGCTACTGCAAAGGAAGGTTTGGAGCACACTTAAAAGAGCTGAGGCTTGGTGTTTCCTACATCTCATGGGAAAGGCTTGGCGGAATAAAGGGTCAGGTGACCTGACAGGTGAGCAGCTGCAACTGCCTGTCAATGTGGCCGATGGAGGGTTAGCTAATTGTGGATCTGGCCCTCTGGGCAAAAGCAGTTCCCATCCCTGCTCTAAAACCACTACTCCATGAGCTCTTAGGGTCTCCAGCAAACTGGCAATCAGCCAACCTTCTGTTTCTATAGGCAGTTCCTGCATATCACCCGCTCCCGCTTCAACGTCGTGTTGGTCGACAAAGAAGGCGTGGACCGTGAGCGCTACATCCAGCCTCTGACACCGGACGAGCTCTTTTCCTTTGTGGATACCTACCTGCTGAGCAACCACGAAGTGCTCCAGAGGGAACAGAACAGGGACACGTGCGAGTGATAATGGGCTGCTCCATCCACAGGAGTCACAGTGGACACCTTTTGACCTCTAACATGCCCTGCCTGCTAAGGGTCTTCCCTTTCAGCATTGAACTGGAGGTGAAACAGAAGGGAGGAAATTGCTGAAGTTGAACCAACAAGGACAGCAGAACCTGCAGCGCCCCGGGGCCACAGCCACATTAAGAAAGGGGAAATAATCATAACTATTCCTGTAGGGATTAACCAGGACGATGTCTTTTATTTTTTGCCTACCCTTTTCTAGACAAGAAGTACATTCCACAGCGTGTGTTGTGTGTGTGTGTAAAGGTATCACAACCAGAGACAAGACACCAGAGCCCAGAATCAGAGCTCTTCTCTCTTTTTCCAAGAGCAAACCAGCAATCCATGTGGAGAAGGTCCTGCTCTGGTTACAGCTACATTAAGTGGAAGGCACCTTCTCTTCTTTAAAGAGTATACATGTTTCTGCTCACTCCTTATCTCCTTTTAGTCAGTGCAGTGCAGCAGTTAATATACTGAGAATTAAAAGCATACTGGTTGGAACGCCTAGGAATTTGGCACCTCTACAGCAGGCGGAATGAATATAAACCTTTTTTTATTTAGCAAAACCCATGTTTTACAGCTGAGGAACAGAACACGTGCCAAAAGGTAGTACTTTCTAAAGAGGTATTTTGCTACTTATGGACTCCCACAGCTGGGCTGGTGCTGGTGGGAGAAGCAGTCCAAAAAACATCTCTGGGGAGGACCAGGTTGGCAAAGGCTGTCCTGGAATACCCGAACCCCATCAGCCTTAAAATAATGGGCTGTGTGATGCTCAAATCAATGGGGGGGGGGGAGAGACATGGTCCTGCATCACCAGCAGGTCTCCACTCCCCCTGTACCTCTATAGTGCTCTACCACATTTATATACCAATAATTGCTAGGCACATTCAGCCAGTGATCAGCTTAGTATTGAGAGTCCTATTGACTTGGTCTGCTCAGAGAGCATCAAGGCAAAGGTACTAGGCTACCTCCTTGCTATGCTGGTTTCCCAGCACAGAGGGTGGTTATTATGGGGAGCATTAAAGAAATACCCAAATCCCCTGCACAAAATTTAAACTGCATTATCTGTTCTCCTGTTCTCAGGACTTCTCACGAAGGAGTGTAGATCTTCTTGTCCTAGTTCCCACTGTGGTGATAAATATGCGCTCTGGATTCTAACCTTTCCAAGCTAGGGGTAAAAGGCTCACATAGCTGAATGTTCTTCCATAAACACACACACACACACACACACAACCTGCCCCCAAACAAAAGACACTCTCTATATAACAAGCGAAAGGGTTCTTATCTAATTTCTTCTTAATATTGCACCTTCAAGAATCTGAAGGGCTGTTACACAGAAGATGGAACAAATTTACTCTCTTTTGCTCAGGAATGAAGGCCTAGAGCTAATGGGTAGACACTACAAGGAAAACAGACTTTGGCTAAGCGTTACAAGAATGTAGGAAGCTGCCTTATACCTAGTCACGGTCCATCTAGCCCAGCATTTGTCTACACCAGGCATGGCCAAACTTGGCCCTCCAGCTGTTTTGGGACTACAATTCCCATCATCCCTGACCACTGGTCCTGTTAGCTAGGGAGGGTGGGAGTTGTAGTCCCTAAACAGCTGGAGGGCCAAGTTTAGGGATGCCTGGTCTACACTGTCTGGCAGCAGCTCTCTAGGTTTTTAGATAACGGAGTATGTATCTCACAACTTTACCTGGAGATGCTGGGACTGAACATGGGACCTTCTGTTTGCAAGGCAGATGCTCTGCCATCAAGTTACGCCTCTTCCCTAAATATGCATTTCACCATGCCGCCATACCCTCTGGGGGAAAGCCAGAGTCAATGGAACTTGAACTGCATCTCCTCCTCCCCCCTCCTTTCTGTCCATATCATTGAGCACCATGCCTTCATCTCCTGCTAATACAGGAATAAAAAGTAGATATTTAAATTATACAGCTTCCAGCTTCATACACCCAAACTTTATTTCAGTGACCCTTTCTGCTGTGCACAGAACAGAACAGAAGGTGTTAACATTTAAAATCAAGAACAGGATGCAGAGATGCAGTATGTTGCAGAAGGCTTCAGGAAAAAAAGAAAAATAGGAAAGGGAGTTTGAGGGATAAAGAAAATAAGGAAAAATAAGGGATTTTTAAAAGGCACTTTGGCGGGACACCCCCCCCCCCCGGAAAGGGTCTGCACAGAAAACAATCCCAATAAAGTTGGTCGTAAGACAAAAGATACTTGGAACAGACTGCCAAGAACTTCCCTCCAGAACAAGCCAGCTTCATGGGCCATTTCAAAAAGTTAGTTCTATTGCTACACGTCGTACGAAGCCAGGAAGTCTTGCTGCTGCATCCCATAAACTCTCTAGTGCAGTGAACCTGGCCATCATTTGCCTCCTGTGCCCCATCTCAAAAGCCAGCTGGAACAAAGTTATGGCCTTGCCCTGGCCATGGTGGGGCGAAGGGGAAGGGTTCCCTCTGCCCACGATCCGGGGTACTTGCGCATCTTCTGCCACAGACTAATCTCCTCTCCGGTAGAATCCATCCAGTCCACCAGTTGGCCATTGCTCATCCCTGAAGAGACAAGTAGTTGAAAGAAAAAAAGGCGAGGTCAGCCGAGTGCACAAAATAGCCAAGGTCCATTTTCACCATCCTCACCAACTGATGGAACTGATTTGGTTATCCAAGTATCCCTAGCAAAGTTACAGAGCAGGAGTGGGAGGAACCTGTGGCCCTCCTGGTGCTGTCCGGGCTAGAGCTCCCATCAACCCTGCCCCCGCTGACTATGCTGGCTGGGAATAATGGGAGTCCCAAGAGCATGTTTCTCGTTGCAGATCAGCCCCTGCCTATCTAGACTTGTATTGTCTACTCTGGCAGGTAGCAGCTCTCCAGGCAGTCAGGCAATGGTCTTTCCTCACCTTTCACCTGCTACCAAATTAATTTTAGCTGGAGATGCCAGGGACTGAATGCAAAGCAGGTGCTATTCCCATTAGTTATTCCCCCCCTCCCCTCCAAAAAAAGTCACAGGACAGGTAAATCATATCTGTGTAATGTTTACATACTTTTTTTTAACCCACTAGAATGAACATGTGTACTACCCAACATGGGTATAAGCTGTGCACCAGGAGTTCACTAGGCCAGCATGAGCTACAAAATCTGTGAAGGCGTTGCTAAACCTGATGTTTTATTTGAGTGCCCAGCCGTGTTCTGTCTTCAGCACTGAAAAGGCTAAAATCACCATGTGTCGCACCTCCATCCCCAAATGTCGCCTACTCAAGTAACACTCCCTCACAAAGAACTGGATTTTGCTTAATAGAGCTGTCCTCAGCTAAACTGTGGGTCCTCTTGTTTTAATGACATGTGGCATTCTTCCCTTTCGTTGCCTGTTTTTCAAGTCTATTTCAATACAAATTTTCATAGTAAAACGAGAGAGATTGCGTCATATCCACACTACTTAAAGCCATCTTATAACATTTCTAACAGTCATGGAGGGTCCTGGAACCTGTACCTTGTTAAGGGTGCTGGGAACTGTAGCTCTGCAAAGCCAGCACCATTAACAAACTACAGTTGCCAGGATTCATTGAGGCGGGGGCGGGGGGAGCTATGACTGTTTAAAATTGTGTAAGAGTGCTTTAATATGGACACTGTGGATGTCTGTAGAGAGAAAGAGAAATGGCCAGAAATGAGGGAGCCCGCTATGAAGACCCACCCGTACCCTGCTGTGGTCCCTTGGGAGGGCAGCAAGACAAGTACTAGTTGTGCATATTTATTTTCTCATATCTACTTTTTGGCCCATCAACTTCGAATTTAGCTCTCTGCTTGTTATGTATCGAGATTTAGGTTATTTTATTGTAATGTTTAGTGGATGCTACATTTACTGAAGTGTTTATTTTGTCTGACTTGGGTTGAAGTGTTCTGTAACAAGCATACGTTATGCATTTTTGATAATTAAGTTAAACGTTTTATTGGGATCAGATTCAGGTGTTGAATTCACTGTGGAAAAGCAGCCCGTCAGCTAACGTAAAACTGACTGGAGCCATGGATGGAAAACAGTGGCTGAAAAGACCGGGCCTCATAAAGGAGAATGAAGGAGCAAGAACTTAGGAATGCAGGAAGCTGACTTATGCAGAGTCAGCCCATCGGGTCCATCTAGCTCAGTCATGTCTACATTGCCTGCCAGCGTTTCTCCAGGGTTTCAGGCAGGGGACATTCCTAGCCCTATCAGGAGAGTCCAGGGACTGAAACTGGGATCTTCTATATGCAAGGCAGGTGGTGGTATTTCATCCAGGAATCAAAACTGCACGGTGGTGGATATTTAAATTCCACAGCCTCCAGCTCCACAACTTTATTTCAATGACCCTTTCCCCTGTACACAGAACAGAAGGCAATACCATTTGAAATAAAGAACGCTCTCCAAGCATTCAGGCAGGGAACCTTTCCCAGCCCTTTAATAAAGGAGATGTCAGGGATGGTACCTGGGACCTTCTGCATGCAAAGCGGTGTGCCGACCACTGAACTATGGTCTTTCCCCTAGAACAGGGTTTCCCAAACTTGGGTCTCCAGCTGTTTTTGGACTACAGTTCCCATCATCCCTGACCTAGCTAGGGATGATGGGAGTTGTAGTTAAAAACAACAGCAGCTGGAGTCCCAAATTTGGGGAACTCTGCCCTAGAAGAACCCTACTGCTGCAAAGGAGGCTAGACTGGAGCTGGGAGCTAGGGTTCAGGAGTGCCTCTAGCTTAAGTGGAAGTTTAATTGTCTGCAGTGATTGGCACGGTCCCATTTTTTGAGCAAGTGGGAGGAATAATCCATCTGAAAAAGATAATCTCCATTGATGGGACAGGTGCACCCATGAGCACGCACACAAACACATATGCATGCCCTAAGAAGATTCCTCACCATTCCCAACTCCAAGTCGGACTCCTCCCAAGAAATCGTTGCTGGAAAGGGGCTCCCGGTCCCACACAGTAAGCTCCAGGCAGATGTGCGGCAGCTCTTCAGGGCTGATGTTGTTGTAGACCAAGGTGTGGTTGTAGTGGGGGTTCAGGCTCTTCTTCACGACTGGTGTCTTCCTTTTGGTGGCCTTGTTCCTCAGAGGGAGCAAATACCTGTGGACCAGGGAGGGGGAAATGCCTCTCTCTTATTAAAGAGGCTCCTGCAACCAGGACTTGCAGAAATTGGTAGCTTGGAAGGGGGGGGGGGAGGTTGAAAACTCAGCATCTTTTGAAGATCTCTCTGCAAATTTCTTGTGCTTAAGCAGC